CTAAATCAATGAGTAACAGACCCAGATAAAGTGTGAAAAGAGTCCTGAAAACTATTTGGTGAGATGGGTAAAGGAGCTACGTGAAAAGATACCTGGTTTTGATTTTAAAATTCTTCTGAAGTGATCAGGTATGCTTCAGATAGCTTTGAGTCTGAAAATCACCTTATGCATCTTGACATTCAGGTATTTGTTCAACAAATATCTACTGTGTGCAGAAAACACTATGCAAGGTGAATGAGTCAGTACATGCTCTTAACAGGCTTAAAAATCTTATGCCATTTGAGGGCAGGAAGGCAGATATTAATCAGAAATGTGTAATATGTGATGAGTTTGTTGATAAAGACATGCCAGAATATTTTAGAGCACAGGGAAGAGAACCTGTCTGGCCAAGGAGGCAGAAACCCCCTCTGGGAAAGGCTGCACAAGTGAACTCTGAACAGATGAATGTAGGTGTTAGCCAGCTCATCAAGAGGAAACTGAGGACAAAGAAGGGAAATGTGAACAAGGCTGCAGGGTGCCTGCCATTGGCTGGGTGTGACTGTAGAAGTTTAGGATCAGTGCCCTTGGGCTTGTGAGAAAAACAAAAGAAAGGTTGAGGCCAACTCCTTCAACTCCTTGTGGGCACCATGTACTCTTGTGCAGGGACTTGTACTTAATCCTGTCAGTGCTGGGAAAACTGTCATGGATTAATTTTAGGATGATCATGAGCAGATTTACTTTGAAATAATTCCACCTGACATCTGTGTAAGGAAAGAAGTTGCAGGAAGCAAGAAATTTTGCAAGAAAGTCACTTAAGATGGTGTTGCAAGAGCCCAGGAAGAGTGAATGGCAGTCTGAACTAGGGGCAGTGGGGTGAATGGAGAGAATCTGCAGTGTCCAGTTGCTGTGAGGGGCTACTATGAATAATGATGCTTCATACTCCTATTATTTCCCACCCCTCATTTCAGGTGTTCAGTCCTGAGATACAGGACTCACGTTGTTAACAAGAATTATGTGTTTGTACTTTATCTTCATTTCTAAGAGCAAGATAGCTGGATTCCTCCCATAAGGTCCCCATGTGTTTGCTTGAAATATTGGTACATATCTTATCATTTAGTAAAGATCCATAAGATTCTCCTTAATATTATGGATCTTAACATTCCAAAAGCATTATGTTTCTACAAACAACAGTGTAGGCATGCCAAGTATTTTCATAGTTATTGTTCTTTGCTTACAAATGTTTGTGGTAATGACTTTGGAGATGACTTTCTCAACTTAATATTGATCCCTCATAGCACTGGATGTGGCACTAATTGTCCATACCTATTATTGCTAGATATCCTAGCACTAATACCTATTGTTTGAAATGAAGCTACTTTGACTTTTCATTAGAAACTTTCATTTTTGAATTAGAGGATCTACATTTTCCATGAAGGTCAAGCAAATCATGATATTTACATTTGAACACAACTTTTAAAAAGATAAAATCATTAAAATTTGATATTCTAAATTTTCACATTTTCTGGTTATTCATAGATCGTTTATTATTATTCACAGGAAAGAACATCTATCAGCACTCCTTCCTAAACCTGTTTAAAAAACAAACAGCATATTTTAATCAGAGATTTGTAAGTATCTTTTTTTTTTCCCTTTACCTATAAGGTTAGATTGATTTTGTGAAAGAAAGGTCTCCTTCAATAAAATACTTGACATGATACAGCTATATACTATGAGCTGGCATACAACATTTAATGAGAATAAAATATAAAATCAACCCTTCAAAACCAAAGAAATGAAAACTCAATAAGTAAATTCTCACCAAATCTTACTATAGCCAAGAAATGTTTGATTAATTTACTTTGCAATTGCTCTTTCTTGATGTCACTTTCATTCCTTTTTCACCTTATTGAGATATCTTTGTGAAAGTTTGTAACACCAAGGAGAAGGAAGAGGGAAAGAGGGTGGATGGAAGAATAGGGAAGGGAAGAATTTGTTTTTGGTACAAAATGTATGGATTTGTACAATTTGGTATTCTTTCATTAATACTTTTTTTTTAAGATTTATTTATTTATTCATTCAGAACCTGGGGTACAGACCAGAGATGCGGAGGGTGAGAGGACCACCAGAGACAGAGTGGGAAGCAGAGCAGGCAGATCAACAAAGTACAGTGCTGAGGGGAGCAGCAGACAGGTCAGGAGGGGTCTGCTACGCCATGTGGATCTCCTCGGGACAGGCGGGGATCGAACTCATGGGGAAGTGGCTTAAGCTTCTTAGTGCTGGGCTTTAACCTGATGTGCCACCAGGGAGGGCCAATACTACTTTTTTTTTAAGATTTATTTTTTTTTATGCAGACAGAACTGGGGACAGGCCAGAGGTACAAGGGGTGAGAGGATTCACCAGACAGAATGGGGAGCAGCACAGGCAGATGTACTGAAATATACTGCTGAGGGGAACACTGGGCAAACTAGGAGAGGTCTGCCATACCATGTGGGTCACCTCCCTGGCCAGGGATCAAACTCGAGCTGCAGTGTCTGTGATAGCTTCACAGTGCTGTGCTTTAACCTGTTGCCCTACCAGGGAGGGCCTCATTAATATTTCTAATGGTCTTCTAAAACATCAAAACTAGGTCTTAGAATAGCCAGTGTTCATTCTGTTTTATCACATGTATGAAATTACTTAAATCACTATACTGTACCCAAACTGGTTCACTTGGAACAGGGAGTCTGGATAACTGTATTTCAATTCAGCAAGAGACCAAGACAAGCACATCTTTTGGATATTCATGAGATGAATTGAGAAGAACCCGTGAAAATAGAAAACTTTTGTCCTAAAAATATTTCTGAAGTAATAGCATTTTATATTTATGCCCTGAAATGCATTTTAACTCTAGTGTAGTCCTAGCAATAAAGTTAATAATCAGCATATCAAATTATAGCACACAGAGTCTAGGGTGTAAAGACAAGGAGCAGGTGTGGACCTGGGTGAGCTTTTCAGGTGGATATGTGTAAGACTTTGAACAGCACACTTAAGGTTTCTCAACTGTAAATATTTGTATTTGATGGCTGTTGACTAAAAATGATGACTACCTTATAGGATTTTATGATTCCAAGAAATCCCTGAAACCTTGTTGCTTACTAGTAAACAGTCATTTATCTTGGCTAATCTTGAGACTATTACCATGATGTTACCATTTATGTAGTAGCTAATAAAACCAGCCAACAGGAACTGAGACATATTTTTAACTTGCTTCATCAGATAAGATCTCAGCAAGTTGTTTAATTAAAAGGTGTACTGCATTCTTATTTACACATTCTGCAGCCATACAGGCTAATTTGTCACTATGTGGCATTAGTTTCTAGTTCAGTACACCTGTCTGTGTAATTGAGCAAGTTGTCTGAACTCTTTAGTGCTTTGTTAGTAAAATGAAAGTGAAAGTATTTACATAAGGGTTGTCATGGGATTAAATATAATGATGAAACAATGTAACAGAAATAATAATAAAACTATACACTGCCTTTAAAATTTACTGTTGAGGCCCTCCCTGGTGGCCCAGCAGGTTAAAGCACAGCACTGAGAATCTAAAGCCGCTTCCACATGAGTTCGATTCCCGCCTGCCCTGGAGGTGACCACATGGTGTGGCAGACCTCTCCTGACCCGCCCACTGCTCCCCTCAGCAGTGTACTTCGTCGATCTGCCTGTTCTGTTCCCCACTCTGTCTCTGGTGAAGCCTCTCGCCGCCCCTAAGCTTCTGGCCTGTACCCCAGTTCTGTATGTACAAATAAATAAATCTTTAAAAAAAAATTTACTATTGATATATACTATATTGTTCATAGACTTTGAGGTTTTGTCTACATAATGACTTCATTTATCAGCTTATATATAAGCTATTTTTATATATGAAAGTGGCATTTATAGAATCACTAAAAGACTGAAAATACCTATTCTTGGCCATATCTCCAGATGTATTTTTTAAAGGTTTATTTAGTTATGCATACAGGACTGGGGTACAAGCCAGAGGTGCAGTGTGGTGAGAGGCTTCACTAGAGACAGAGTGGGGAGCAGAACAGGCAGATTGACAAGGTACCCTGCTGAGGGGAGTGGCAAGCAAGTCAGGAGATGTCTGCCATACCATGTGGGTCACCTCTGGGGCCGGGAATCGAACTGGCACTAAAGTGGCTGTGGCCAGCTTGCAGTGCTGTGTCCTAACCCATTGCACCATCAGGGAGGGCCAATTTCCAGATGTTTTTAGCAGGCATCTTAGATAATTAGCTGACTATTAAGTCACATGGGGGGATCTAGTTTTGCCTATGTGGATGAAGGGATATAGTTACCAGTTTATTCCTCAGATCAAGTTACTGACCTTCCTACCCCCACATTCCCGGTCATATCTCATGATGCATATTCTTCCTAAGGTGATCAAGCTTTCTGCTCTTGATCTATTTCATGCCTTCTAAGGCTTAGTTCTTATTAGATCTTTCCCCAACTCCTTATCTCTCAGTGCAAATTGTTCCAGTTTGTCTTTTTACTCTTGCACTTTTTAATTTTTTTTTTTTTGGCCTTTCTTCATTTCTTTCTTTTTTTTAAAGATTTATTTATTTATGCATACAGAGCTGCAGTACAGGCCAGAGGTGCAGGGGTGGTGAGAGCATTTACCAGAGACAGAGTGGGGAGCAGGAAGGCAGATCGGTGAAGTACACTGCTGAGGGGAGCAGCAGGTGGGACAGCAGAGGTCTGCCGCACCATGTGGATCACCTCTGGGGCTGGGAATTGAATTTACACTGAAGTGGCTGCAGATAGCTTGCAGTGCTGTATCCTAACCCATTGTGCCACCAGGGAGGGCCCCTTTCTTCATTTCCTACATCACTTTACTTGGACTCAATCCAGCTCTATACTGCCATGAAGTTAAACAAATATTAAATACTTCTCTGTTCCAAGGACAGTCTTGATTGCCAGGAATATAAAGTAAGTCCAGGAGAGTCCTAGTTTGAGAGGAGCTCACAGTGTTATGGGGAAAGGAGATCAGTATAAAAGGTTGCAGGAGGGCTTGGGAGCCATGGCTACATGTTGCATTGGGCAGCACCACACTGACAAAGAAACAGGAGCCATGGAGCTGGCTACATAATGCAGGATGCTGCTGAAGAGGAAGATCCTGGCCTTTTTATTGATAAAATAATCATACAGTATCAATTATATAGGAGGAAGTAGGAAAAAGGAAGAGGGGAAGGGTGGAACTGTCATCTGTAGTATGAGGGATTGCTAGTCTGTCCTCCAGGTGCTTCTCATCTGCTTGATGACACAGTATTATAATTGAGATCAAGCCCTAGACCCCCCAGTCAGGGTTTCAATGCTATCAAGAAGGTATTTCACTGATCAGCTTCTGGGGTCCCTTGTCATACATTGGTCCTCAACACCCCCCTACCCCCACATTCCCGGTCATATCTCATGATGCATACCCTTCCTAAGGTGATCGAGCTTTCTGCTCTTGATCTATTTCATGCCTTCTAAGGCTTAGCTTTTATGACTGACTGGCTGGTTACTGAAGGGCTGTTCTGACCTTGTGTAGGATATAGAACTGCAGGTAGCAAAATGATGGCCCAATAGGCTGTTTAGGATTAGCAGGTCCACAGTTACCACTTCCCAGAGGAGTCAGACAGGACTCTGAAGAAGAATGTCTCTGGTCTGTTTGGGGTACAACCATCATGACTCATACATAATTATGCAACATTTTGAAACCACACAAAGTATATGCTTCTAAGGCCTACTGGAGCAAGCTAATGCAGTTGACATGTAGAGAAAGGTACGCCGTGACAAAACAGGAGACCTGTGTCTTCTCATGCTATCACCCAAACCTCTGTAACCTTTGATAAACTGGTCAGACTCTCCAGAACTCCCTTGATTGCTCACTCAATTCATTCAAACAGTGAAATTCATATTGTGGTTTTCCATACTTGGGATACAATCAGGTGGAAGAAAAGTGCTTCTGAGGCAAAGTGCTGTCTGAATTGTGGCCTCAGTTTTGAGTAGCTGTTGACTAGGTGAAGAGAAAATTCAGAAGGAGTGTGTCCAGTCAGGAGATAGTACAGCCACGGTTTGACCAGAATCTGGAGGTGAAGAGAGTATGTCCGTGAATCACAAATCCACAATGGGTAGCAATTTGTTTGAACTTCCATTACCAGAAAGGAAAGGAGAGTCTGGGAAGTAAGCAGAGTATACATCGTGTAGGGTGATGTTTATCAGACTATATTTTAGCTAACTTATATTTGATTATTTACTGAAATGTTGAAAGAAGAGTTTCTTTCACTTATGTAAAATAAACTGACTCTTAGTCATATATATATTTTAGTACCTCAAGGATATAGAATTTCCCCAGTGTTATATAATAATTTTTCCCTTTCTGAAGTCAATTTTATCTTGTTCACCAAATGGAGCTGATTCCAGCAACATAGGGGTAATTACTGAGCTGACATTTTTTGAATTAAAGCAAATCAGAGCAATTAAAACATAGTGATAGCAACTATAAAAGGACAGTATGTCATCATTTATTGTACCAATGAAGGATGGAAATATGTTATAATTTGTTTTTAAATTTATTTCTAAATGTCACATTTTTATTGCACTTGCTAATTAA